ACACTCAGTGGACCATTAAGCAAATGAAAAAGCACTGCACCAGTACAAGCAAAACTGTCACAGCTAGCCTGGAATTGTCATTTAATACATTGTTCCCATTTTCAACATCTCTCAGGATCTTTGTAGTAGTTAACATGAACTGGCAAGGCAGCTCCTAGCATTTAATTAACCAAGAATCAATGTCATGTTGATTGATTTTGGAGGCTGCAACCCAATGGAACATTTGACTAGATAGATTTCTTGCAATTACAGTTACTGTGCCTGTGACTAAATTTCAGTAAAGGATAAGTGGAGTAATATGCTTGTCATGTGGATGTGTGAATAACTGTAACATATCCTTTAAGAGACTGAGTCAGAAAACAGAATATGTTTTTGCTTGCATTGCATCTCTGCAAGGGTGATTTGGGTCTCCTCCTGCAAACTGCCCCCTCTCCCCATCTGTAGTACAGTTATGTAGCAGAAAACACGATGTCAGCCTTCTCTAATTTAGGACCTTACATATATGCTGAGACTGCAACAGTCATCATTCCCAACTAACAAGTCTGGGAACGATGGAAGTTGAAGTTCCAACTTACATGAAGGCAGTAGGTTGGGGAAAACGCTGCAAATATAGTTGGATGCTCTATGTACTTCAGTTCTTCAATCATTATATTCATTTGAATGCCCAAAACAAAACCAACAGATGCTTGTATTGTGTGTGGTTCAATGCTATAATGTTCCAGCTGTGACCAAGGTTTTCCCTTTTTCATCTCCAGCTCAGAGGGCATGGATGTGGGCATCCAAAGTCATAGGACAACCAGAATGTCATATGTGGGGCCCATTTACTGCATGCATGTGTACAGTATAGCCTACCCACTTGTATTTCTGTTTAAAATTGGTCTTGCAGCACATTTCTACATCCTGAATCTGATCTCTGAGCAAGTTCGTTAGCACTCATCTCTCCACTGCATTTCATATTACTCAGAGCTGCTCCACTTCCAATTTTCTTAGGTTTTGCACTTTCCAGCCGTAGATCATTGCTGGTATAACTATGGTGTTGAAGGCATCTGCTCTAGTTTTGGCATTTCCCATTTGCTGCGGTAGCTGTATATCCTTTTGATGTACTCCCACAAAGGGCCCCTAGATGTCACTGTCCACCCAATACTAGATTTTTGAAACTCTCTCCTCCTTCAGCTAAGGGCTACCAGCTAATGGTGTTTGCCAACACAGAGCACTGATGGCATCTGAAAGGCTAATGAAAAACAAGGTAGCCAGACTCCTGTAAGAAGTGAGCTAAGCTTCACGCTGATCTTTACCCACTTTCTGTGGCAGTGTTGAGACTGCCACGAAGAAGGTGGGTTGTGTGTTCTGTGGAAGTGGATATTTCTTTTCCTTGATAGCTATCAGTTCAGATTGCTTTCCAGTTTTATATTACCATATAGCATTGTTGCTATAGGGAAGACAAAGCAAGACATACAAAAATTGACAAGATGCTCCCGCCACCTTTAATCATTGGACGAAGGAGAAGATTTGGTTGGGGCATCTTATCAAGGAGGGAGGGAAGAAAAAAACTACATTTCCTAAAATTCCTTCTCCTAGACAGCTGTTACATGCACAGGAGCCCCCTCTCTTTCTGCAGCTGGCTAGCTCTTCCATATAAGCAATAACATGGAATTATTTTCTAATTCCAGCTAGGGGCTCTCACTATTTCATGTAACAGATTCTATAAATATATGCCATAAATGAATTTCCCAGTGTATGAAATTGCTGAATAAGCCCAAGCTCTAGTATTATGAGAAGAAGGAAAAAAAGACATCATTATTTGTACAGAAAACATTATTCATTCTTTTATAAACTGCTATAGGGAGTCAACCCTCAAGAAATTAACTCTAATTGTTTTAAACAATGGTTTTCAACTTCCTAACCTGATGCCTTCCACATGTGTTAGATTACAATTCCCATCTATTTCTATGCTGGTTGGGGATGAGGAGCATCCCCATCAAGTGCATTTGGAAGGCATCCCGCAGCCAATTTGCCTGACTTATTAGCGTCTCCTACCTGGGCAAGGTTGAGCGAATAATTGCTTATCAGTTTTAGTCAAATTTGGATGAAACTGGTTTTTTTTATCCATTTCATTCCAGGTTCAGGACAACTCTGGCAGACGTTTCTGCTGCCATTTCAAGGTCATCTGGGATTTTGCAGCCCAGATCTGAGAACTGTAAGACACACTGCTTTGGTTGTTTGATGGGATGTGATCCTTTTTTTTTTTAATCTTTCAATGACTTCCAATATTATTGACTTCTTCTGGACAGGCTGTCTAAACTGGGAAGTCCTCTTCTACTTGGATAGCCAATTTCAGGTGATGTGGAGGAGTACTGTACTACTTAGTGAGGTACTTCAAGGCTGTATCTCCTATACTTTTCAACATGTACACAAAAGGTTATGAGATATGTGGGTTCAGGCTTTATCTCTCTCTCTCTCCTCCAACACAGGCAAAGGCAGTCAGTGTTTCTAGTGCCAGGGCAGGAAAATGGATTGGAAGAAGGCTAAATTGAGACCCAGTCCAGACAAGGCCGAGATGTTGCACGGGGGTGGCTTATCTGCCCAGCTCAGTAGTGTTCATTCTGCTCTGGAAGGGGTTACGTGCAGGGTGCTAAAGCAGCACTAGCACTGGAAATTCAAGAGGCCTTGGTGACTGTTTAAGCTGACAGTCTTACTTGGGCAAAGGTAGCTCTATAATAGAGATCCATGCTCTGGTAATGTAAAGACATTTAGAGCTCACGTTGGGGAAAGCGTGAGAGTGCTGCCTGGGGCAGGGGGAAGGAAAGGAGCATGATATTAAAGTGGGCTTGAACAAGTCCAGATGTAGAAGGAAGCCTGAGAGAGAAGATGAAATTGATTTTTTTTTTTTAGTATAAGATGGAATAGAAAGAAACTTGGCTTTCAAGATTGATGTCAGCACTTCGAGGTAGGCCAGATCAAGAAACAGACACCACAGGGATTCCAGAAATGCTGCTTTGTTGTTGTAGGTTATAAGAGAATCTTGAAAGCCTGTTCAAATTTCTCTCTGTGACATCTTATACTTAACAAAATCAAGGTGGATTTAGAGTTTCTTTCTCAAGCTTCCTTCAGTCTTTAGACTTGTCCAAGTCCTTCCTTAACAGCTTGTTCCCTGCTCCCCTGCCGCCCCCCCCCCCCCGCCATGGCTCTCACACCTTCCCCAAGGTCAGCCCTAAATTCCTTTACAGATAACCTCCCATTTGGATCGCTGTAATGAATCAGACAAATGGCTCCTTTGGAAAATGATTGGAAATGTTCAGCTACTTCATAGTAGGCAGATAGATAGATTATTCATTGGGACTGGCCAAATCAATAGTATTAGGTCAGCTCTTTTAGATTTTTAAAAAATTTTTTATCCCACCTTGATTATTTTTATAAATAACTCAATGTGGCAGACATACCTATTATTCCTTCCTCTTCCTATTTTCCCCACAACAACAACCCTGCGAGGTGAGTTGGGCTGAGAGAGAGGGACTGGCCCAAAGTCACCCAACCGGCTTTCATGCCTAAGGCAGGACTAGAACTCACCGTCTCCTGTTTTCTAGCCTGGTGCCTGAACCACTAGACCAAACTGGCTCTCTGTACAAGCTACCAGACCAATTCCAGGCCTAATTTAAAATATGGGTACAGTCTGTGACACCTAAATGGCTTGAGGACAGGTTACCCAAAGGAGCACCTCCTCTGATATTGTCCTACCTGGACCCTGAAATGTTCAGCAGGGGAGGTCATTCAAATTCCTCCTGAATGGCTACCAGAGAAAGGGCTTTTTTGGTGATGGTACCACTTGGGAGTTTGGTTCTAACTAAAATACTTTAGTTCTAATTGCTGCTCTTAATGATGATTTTATACAGAATGTGCTGTACCATTCTCTATGTCAGTGTTTATATTGTTTAAGAATTTTTTCCCTATGATTTTATATAGTTTTTATAGTTTAACCGAACTAAAAAAGAACTTCTATCATTCTACAATAAAGTAAAAACAAATACAATAAAAATAAAATTGAGATGAATTAATCAGACCAGTCAAATACATTAGTGAGCTGAGACTGTTTATTTACATGTGCCATAGGCACTGCGTTACCTATACAAATTGCCACATTGGCCTTGCTTTTAACCAAACCTACTCAAAATAATTCTGCCTTTCATTCTGATCTCAGCTCAGGAAAGAGTACTGTGTTCGTTCGTAAAAGGAAATAAGCTTTTTGGCGTCTTTCCTTTTTTGAACAAACCCAGTTAGGATTCAACAACTTTGGAAATGAGGATACATTGACTTTGGGATCAGGGGACCAGACAAATTGCTGGGGGAGATCTGTGTGACATAAAAGGTATACCTCAAAGTTGGTTCAGTGCAAATTGCCATTCCAAAGAAAGTCCCTTTAAGAGGGCCTACTATTTCTAGTCATGGATTTGTTTCCAATACTTATTTCATAGCAGTATGAAATCTCATTTTCTTAATTACAGAAGCAGATATTTCTCATGGGAGGGTGCTAGAGAGATGCATGGATACTGTGTATATTTATGGGAAGCGTTAGAGCAGCGAAGGTGCTGATGTGTGGCAGAAAACAGAAGAGAGAGGAAAGGAACATTCACATTATTCTAATCCCAACTTCAGATATGACCATGATTCTTTAGAGGGAAACAGCCACAAGTGGCATTTGAAAGTCAGGTATGACAATACCTGATCTTGCCAAGACACCTTCCATGTTAAGGCAGGTAAGGGACTCTTTTTACCTAAGTTAGGGACTCTATGAAAGCAAAGGCCCCAAGGATTCAGCCAGGTTGCTTCAGCATGTCCCCCCGCTTCAAAAAACTTGAGGGTTGTTCTAGGGCAGTGATGGCGAACCTATGACATGCATGTCAAAGGTGAGTCGCCATGACGTTTTGGGTGACACGCCAGCGTTCACCAACACCCAACAACTATTCTCCCTGTTTGAGTTACCAAAGAAACTGAGTTTGTTTTACTTGTATTTCATTTTGGTAATCACATTTCTTTATATAATACATAGCACCACACATGATTGGGCTTTTTTTTTTTAAATAAATGAATATGTAAGGAATTGTTTGTCTTTTGTTTGGGGCATGTGCATGTGTGACACGCCAGCAGAGTCAAGTCAGGCATTTTCCGAATTTTTGACACGCCAAGCCCAGAAGGTTTGCCACAACTGTTCTAGGGGGAGTTTTGAGGTCATCTAGGACACTCACCTAGGTGAGTGTTGATTCCCTGAGTGAAAAGCAGGAGCTGAGAAGAGCCCACCTGCAGGTGAAGCACTGTTAAGCTAGTGGCAAACTAACTGACGTATACCCCTTACTGATGAGGAGATTCTGGCTATACATGGTGCATAATATGAATCTATGTAGCTGCCTTGGACTGTACTTGTAGGCAGCAATATTCAAAGGGCTCACTCTTGTTGGACAACAGATTTCCAGATTGACATGCTAGGGATTAAACATGGGACCTCTAGTATGCAAAGCATATGTTCTAAGACTGAGCTACGTCTCGTATCCCAAACCTACCCCAAGATCAAGTAGCTATGCAGCCATGTATTCGGGAGCTGAGGTCCACACATTGCAGAAAGGATTTTAAAATTACGGTTTGTTGACTAGAATCATAGACTGTAAGATTTGAAAGGCACTTTGGAAGTCTTCTAGTTCAACTCCCTGTCCCGTGCTATTTCTACAGCACAGACTAAGTTACAGTGGCCCAGTTTACATATAATACTGACACAGTGAATGGATTCATACATCATGCTAAGCCAAAAACAACCATTCTACATTAGAGTGTGTTGTCATGTGTGAACCCAACCAAGACACTAATGTTATGTGAAATATTATCTAGGAGGGACTTAATCTGAGCCAGAGGCCTTGAAATATGTGAAGTCAGTGTACAAAAGGAATTAATGCTGAGGGCCTTTTCTTTCTTCACCAGAGAAAGCAAACCACATATACCCACTAGCAACTCTTTCCTTCTAAAAATCAAAAGCAAGGAATTTATGATCTCCTAATCTTAGGATAAGTATAACAAAAGATACAGTCTATGAATATTGGAACTCTGAGGCAGTATGTAAAACTCTGGATTTGAAGATGTATTTTTCTTTAAGCCCCCAGTATAACATGTCTTATTTCTGAGTTCATCTGGAAATTCAGGTTCACAACTGCATTGGCAGCAAAATAAGACTGGGCAGGTTCCTAAGCCTCAGGGTGAACCCCCTTCCCTGTGATCCCCTCCGCTTTATCATCTCTACTAGGAGCAAGGATTCCTGGAGAAAGTATCTCCCCTGGATCCTTGCACCAGCCATGCTAGACAGCAGTGTGCAAAGGATAATGAAGGACCTATAGTAAGCCACTTCCTTGGCCAACCCAGACACTGTCTTGTATGTTTGGAAAGGGGCAGTAGCAACAGCAGCAGCAACTAGCTGAACCACTTGAAACTCAGCCTGGATGAAGGACTTTGAGTTCAGCTTGCAATGAATTCAGGTATCCTGAATCAGGGAACTTCTTTCAAAGCCCCTCTCTCCCAAATTTCACTAGTTAACATCGAGTTAGATTATAAAGCTCAGTAACCATGACCCCTAATTTTATTCAACTAGAATGTCCTATGAACCCTGGATTTATGCAGTGCTGTTCCTACTGAAGAGTAAGTCCTGCTTTCTTCTTCAGTATGTGGGTCCAAGCTGTAGCTGTGGACAAGCTGAGGTAAAAAGAGAATCTTGGAAGAATCACAGTGCAGATATTCTCTTTTGACAGCAGAACAGTGAAGGCTCTTGAGCAATGGCTGTTTTGTTTTTCGTTTTTTCGAAAAAAATCTCTCTCACACACAACAGAGACTTCTGTAAACATGAGTGGAGAAGACCTCAGAAGGCTGTAGTCTCACGAATTCCCCCGGTACGTAATGTTGGTGAAGGTGGAGGTAGCTCCTTTGTACAGGGGATTGTTGGCCTAAAAGACAAAACTGAGTGTAAAAACATCAAGAAAAATAATTGTACCTACTAATGAATAGGCTGCTGGTGACGCATGTGTCTATGTCCCAAACTAGTTTAACAGTTGCCAAGTCATCCTAGTAACTCAAGCTAGGATTCTTTAATAGGGTGAGAGGATTCCTACTCCTCCCAAATGCCACAACCTCAGGATTATTTAAGAAGCTGCAACAGGCAGATAGTGCAACTTATGGTGAAACTGCATATCTCCTAGGAAGATGTAGAAAAAGATATTGCTCCACAGGGGTTTTTTTTCAGCCGCATCTCAACAACTATTAGCCAATAAAGCAGAGGAGAAGGTAGCAAATGCTGCTGCAATGACATTCCGATATCAGGGTTTTTTTAAACAACATACTATTGGGAGAATGCTAACAGCACAGCCTAGAGGTGGTATAAAACTATATTGCAGTATGGCTGATTCAAAGTCAACAGTAGGCTGCTATGGCAGGGAGATAAAAAATAGGTCATTACAAAACTCACTCCTCTAAGGATAAAAGCCAAATATTTGCTCTCTGTCCCATCACACCAGTGTTTCTCAACCTTAGCAACTTCAAGACATGTAGACTTCAATTTCCAGAATTCCTCAGCCAGCCTTGCTTAAAGTTGTCAAGGTTGAAAAACGCTGCATCACACCATTCTGATATTTCTCACCGTGTCCCATCTAGCCCTGGCCCGTTCTTCTTCAAACTTGGCAAATTCTCGTCGGTCGTGGATGGTAATAAGCAGTTTCCAGATGAGCAAAGCAGCCAAGCCAATAAGTAAGATGGCTCCAGTTACTGAAAGGATAACTACCAAGACATCAGGTCCCTTGGGACAATCTGTAAGAAACACTCGCATCATAAAACAGAACTGTGAAGCTCTGATCCACCATTCTGGCCATTGAATTCTTAACTTTAGTTTATCTAAAGACATACATCCATGCATTTGATCAAGCTATTGTGCCAAAGGAAATCTCTACTAAGGAGAAGCAACCAATGATTACTGTTGGATTTATCAGCATATCGCTAGTCTGAAACACCCAGAAGAGTTGTTCTGCAAGCATCTTCTTGGGGTACTTTTCTTTAATTCTATGCCATGAATACCTGATCCAGAATTGTTATTGTGGGAAAGAGGGATGTTATGTTGCAGAAATTAATCATTTGTAGACAGCCTTAGCACTCAGCTTATAGTACTGCTCGTATACATGTCAGACCTCCCTTCATGACAAGTGATGGCCAATATGAATAAATAACCCATCAGTGGCTTTCAAATAATTGTACATCTCAGCAGAATCTGCCTAATTATTCAGGATTTAGCCACTATCAGGTGCATAATTTAAGTGTATCAGTTCTAACATCTTTTTTTACAAAATGTTATCCTAGATCCATCTGCCACTCGGCCTAGAGCAGTGTTGTCCAAACTTGGCCACTTTAAAATGAGTGGACTTCAACTCCCAGAATTCCCCAGCCAGCAGGGCGGGCTGGGGAATTCTGGGAG